CGGCGCTTCGGGCGCGCGTGGCTCGGTGCTTGCGCCGTGCCGGTGGCGTCACCCGACGCGGGTAACGGCGGAGAGCGCCCGATAACGCGGGGCGAGCCCCGAGCGGGCCCGCGCCAGGCAGGCTCGAGGCGCGTTGGTGCCGAGTGGCAGTAAGATGTTACGTCGGCTCTTCGGGCCCGGTGAGCGGGTTTGGACCTGTGAAAACTCTAGCCGGCGTTACACGATCGGCGTTTCGCCTTCTTACTTTTTCTTTTTTGGTGGCCCAGGCCTCGTTTTAACCTCGGCACAAAGCATCTGCCAACTGCAGCACCGTTTCTTGGTCTCTTTGGAAATGGCGGCTACTGTGGTTGCTTCTTTATTATTTATATATCTTTATTATATATGCTTTTTCCCTTTTCTCCTCTTCCCACCCCTTCCTCCCTCCCTGTTTTCTTAAGGACAAGTAGCATTTTGGTGGTTAATGCTTATCTGTGCAGAGAAGCTGGTGACTACTTTCAATATTTCGCCACTTCCTGAGTCTGCTTCTTTATAATGTTTCCTTCACTTCAGGAAGCCATTGTATGTACTCCGTGCGCGTACTGCTCCTCCTATATGGCTTTTGTGCATAAACATAATAGCCAGGGATCAGTGAGTGGTTTCTCAATTTACTTTTGAAGATATGGGGAAAAAATTGCATACTTAGTGTCAGAACTGCGATGCCTCTGTTTGAGGCCGTGATGTTTAACAGTAGCAGTAGAAACTTTCATTAGTTCTTTGTCGTGGCAGGCAACCATGAATTAACGTTGCTTGAATGTAAGACTAAGAACATCTGGGAAATGGTTCTTAGTTTGTCTTCTGCAAACTTGTGTGAGCTGGTTTGAGGTTTTCTTTTTTGGGCTTTTTTTCCTTTGGTCTTTCATATAAAAGTGCTATAGCACTTGTTTGTGGACTGTTGGATAGTTAGTAAAATGGTTTGTTTTGGGAACTTTTTGTCTCCCCCTGCCCCCTTCTCCCCCTCCCCCTTTTTTTTTTTTTATTTTCCTTAGCTGTTGTATGAGGTTTCTTGATCAGCAGCTCAAAGTATGGTCAAGGTGAACTGAAAAGAAAGGAATGGGTTTGCTTGTTGCTTTGTATATGGAATTTTTCTGAAAGGTGTGTGGGATGTGTTAAGTGAAGGATCACAGGGCATGTTTGTACAACTGCATGTTTTTTTTCCTGGGAAGTATTTCAGCTGACTCTTCTTAGCAATAAATCTAAAAAGAGGGATGGAATGAGCAATGTAAAGATTCTAAAAGAGTCAGAACCCAGTTCCCCCCTCCTGCATATTCTTTTCCTCGTATATGCCCAGGCCCACAAAGCCAAGATCTGGATTTCTGATGTTAAGAGTGTACAAGTAAGATTAGTATTGTCTCTTTCCTCTCAACAAAAGTGTCCCTTACATACAAGGGAGGGATCTCCCTACAAGGTGTCAGAGAAGATCACGTGTCCCCTGTGCATGGCCTTGGTACATATACTGCTATACGAGATTTTGAGCTTTAGCGGGTATGTTCAATAACTAAGAAACATTGCAGTGCTACTGTAGATTTGACCACCAACATATAGGTCCTGAGATATATTCTGATATCTTAAAGAACTGACTCTTTGTTTCCGCCAAGATCTGTGTGCCTGATTAAACTTTGTTGTCTGTAATTTCCAGTCCTCTTTTTCTATTAGGTAATAATATTGTTTGGTCGTCTGATCAGGTGAAATAAACTTGCTTCATGTTAAGCCTTGCGTACACTTAAGTGGAATTATTTATTCTCTTGTTTCAGCGGAGTCTACATTGTCATAAAATTAAATGTAATGATTTCTGTCTTCTTACGTATGCAGGCAGCTGAAGAAGTTAGATGAAGACAGTTTGACCAAACAACCTGAAGAAGTATTTGATGTATTGGAGAAGCTTGGAGAAGGGTGTGTGTTCTCTTACAGCTTGCTCAATGGGTGTTTTTCTGAGAACAAATACATATAATGGCTGTTTTCGATGTTCTCTGATTTTTTTTCACTTTTGTCATGATCTTATTACCGCGAAGGTATGCGTTAGCATGGCAACTTTACTTGGTAGGTAATAGAGTAAAGTATTTGTTTTCCAGGAGTGAGATGTCTTAATCCGGACAGTGGCTTATGATTCAGCAGTAGAGACCCCAAAGCGTTATTGAAATTTGGCAAACTATAGTTGATAGGGCTGTATGGGAGGTCCAACTCCAGAGGTCTTGTAGAAGACTGCTAACTCTTGTAGAAGATCCACACAGTAGAATTGAACTTGCCTTTCCTTGTGCCACTTGCTAATGCAGAGCAGCTTGGGAACACTCAGGGAATGACAGGTTTGACTTCTTACGTGGCTTATTTGTAGAACTGAGTAAGAAATCTTGCTAGCTGATGTAAATAAAGAGACTGAAAATAATATAGATCATAGCTGACAAGAACAAGTCAAACTCTTTGAGCAGAGCAGTAGTTCTTGCTGTTGCTCAGCTAGTACCATGTATTGGAAAAAGGAAAATCATATTTGATGGATTTGTTGTGCAAAAGGCCGTTCCAAAGCTATGGGCAGTGTAGTGATGGTTAGCTCCTTTGTGACTATCTCAGTGTGCTGTTACTTATTTATATTATTATAGTGATTCCAAGCTGGTGGAATGATTATTTAAATTAAATTACAAAATATTTTTAGCAGAAGGGTAATTTACTTTTTTCCCCAACATCTGCACTTGTAGAAAGCAAAACCACAACACTTGAATTTTTAAACATTGTCCTTCTATTCAGTGTTTATTTACTATTTTCTTTCATAGTTCCTATGGCAGCGTGTTCAAAGCTATTCATAAAGAAACGGGTCAAGTTGTTGCAATTAAACAAGTTCCTGTGGAATCTGACCTGCAGGAGATAATAAAGGAAATATCCATAATGCAGCAATGTGACAGGTAAGTATATGCTTCGAAATTCATCTTCAATATGTAAAGAAAAGTATTGTATGTGATTTGGCATTTAATCACATAAAAGCCATGATGTTACCTTAAATATTTTTTAAAAGGCTGGACTTGTACGATCAAGTTACCTCATATCAACTGAGTCATGTTAACTGACCATTTGGGTAGTCTTAATCCAGCCAAAGGTAAGACAACAAAAATTTAGCTTGCAACAACAGAGCATTGAGCTAACTAAGTTAAATAACCTTGCACTTGCTGCCAGCAAAGAGCCAAGCGTGTGAGCAGTTGTTGCTGTTCTGATGCACGGTTACTTGTTGAACACTGGTAACTTGATGGTGTGTTAGAACAGCACTTCCCATGTCCAGATGCGGTAATGGATCATAAACAAGTTTCAGTATGAACTTAGAAAACTGTTAGGAGAGATTTTTATTTTTTTTTAAAGGGCATGCGGATGAGAGCCACTAATGCATGACTACTCTTGCATGCGCGCAGGCTACGTGCTGTCATCTGCTTGGGTGGCAGGATTGTCCTTCGCAGAGCCATTTTCTGCCTGTGCAGGTTACAGTGCATTGCAAGCTGAGTGCTGCTCTGACCATGCTCAGAATAACTCCTGCCCGCAGCTCTGTGGTCTGATGGTTGGCTCTCTGGGTTCTCTTGTAGTTCACTTTGCATGTTTTTTATGGGAAAAGATGTTACGGTGACCTAGCTAGTGAGGAGCTCATGGGTGCTGAAGACCTCCTGTTAAAGCGTGTCATAGGCTGAAAAGTTTAAAATATACTTATTTCTTCTGGCATTATGAATCTAGCCCTAGGAAATGCTATTTGTTGGACTTCAGGAAGAAGAAACACGTAAAACAAATGATATTAGTGATATAAAATTATGGTCCTAGTCACTTATTCTATTGCACTTCGCTCTCACTATTTTTAAATGAGAGTGATTTCCTAGTGGCTAACAAAATGTAACTCCTCAAGAATTTGTTCATGAAAAATCTCGCTGTGTAACTGGGAAAACATTAATGGATTTCTCCTTAAAGAAATTAAAAATTAACATTCTAAGGCCAAAAAAGAAGCCTTTACAGTTGTGAACAGCAGAGGGAGTGAATCACTGGAGAACTGTGTTTTCTGTGCAGGTCTAAAGGGATACACTGTGATGTAAGGTGTGTCTGTTTGGTTTTTTGTTTTTTTTGTTTTTTTTTTTGTTTTTGCTTCTCTCATGTTTTCCTTTAGAAGATATTCAGTGGGGATTAGCTTAAGTTTACTTTTCCTCTTTAGGTTTGTTTCCACGAAATCAGGAAGATTCCTTCTGTTATTTTTTTACTTTGCCTTTTCCAAAGGACAGATGGTTATTCTAATTATGATACGCTTTATTAGTTTTTCTGCCTTTTTGGGCAGGCAGGTAGCTGACAATGAAGCAGTCTTATGTTAGGTTGCACTAGATTCCTTATCATCGTAATCATGCATCTTTTTTAAATTGTAGAAACAAGGAGGTGCAGGTGGTAATGGGGGAAGATTCCTCTTAATGGATGCAGTAGCTATTTTCCAGCAAGTTTTTTATGTTATAATGTTTTAATTTTAGTTGCAAAAGCTTTACCGGGGCTGACATGACTTCTGCTTGCCACAGCACTGACTCTGTTGTAGGGAGTTTAGGGAGCCAAACCAGATGAAGGCTAACCACTCCTTGTTTTTGCAGGGTTTATTTTCAGCTGGTTTAGCTCCCTAAACTAGCTTATTGGCAGGTCAGATGACCATCAGTGCTGAGAAGAGGCTTGGCGAGTTCAGACCGTTTTGGAACGCTTCTGGTCAGGATTTCAGTGTCACTTTGACTCTGAATTTTTAAAATCTGTTTTGGGACTCTGCATTGTGTTTTGCTTTTGCTTATTCAGTGATGTTGGTCAGTGCTATTTGACCCTTTGCTTTCTTCTTTTTTTCCACGTTTCGTAGTCCTCACGTGGTCAAATATTACGGCAGCTATTTTAAGAACACAGATCTGTGGATAGTCATGGAATACTGCGGCGCTGGATCAGTGTCTGATATTATTCGATTACGAAATAAAACTGTACGTCCTCCTTCCTTTGAATGCTATAATCGGGGAGTATGGGTATCCAGCAGCTCAAGGAAACTAAGCAGTTTGTGTGTTGGTCTTCGGGTGTAATTCGGGTCTCTTGAGGGTATTCATTGTCTAACGCTGGTATTGGTCGCAACTTGAGATGCGAGTCCTTTGTTTCCCTGGAAATGAGGAAGCTGATTGTTATCCAAATAGCAAAATGTAATCAATTTAATCAGTTGAGCTGGTTTTGGGTAAGATGATCTGTTAACTTTCTGGAAAACCTACATTGATTCTGAATAGTGGATTCTACTTTCCCTTGCATTGACTATTGCAGAATAAGGAGAGCTAGCTGTGAAAGGGTTATGGCATGTGAAATACGATGTGCCTGTATGTGTAAGATGGCTACAGTCTAATTCTACTACATAATGCTGTAAGTTGTTAACTGAAAATATATCTAATTTTCCATTAGTCAGTATGGCAGCCTTTAACGAAGGTAATTAAATGGCGGTTAGTGAATCTCACAAACAGACTATTACATGATGGCGTTGGATCTTGGCAGCTGATAGGTTGGCTGTAACTTTTCTTTTCTTTAGCTCACGGAAGAGGAAATTGCTACAATAGTGCAATCAACGCTCAAAGGACTAGAGTACCTGCATTTTATGAGGAAAATACACAGGGACATCAAAGCTGGAAACATACTGCTAAATACAGAAGGACATGCTAAACTTGCAGACTTTGGAGTGGCCGGACAACTTACAGTGAGTAAAAACATGATTTTTGGTTGTGAACGTTTCAGTTTCTGTTTTCAACCTACGTTTAAGGTTGGCCTTAAGGTGACCCTCACTATGCTTCTAGTAACTTTGAACAGTTTAGACCAATTTCTCTTTAGCATTTTACATCAACGTAACGAGATGCTATAACAGCAGCGGATTAGCGCAGGGCTTCCTCTTTGGAAGCACCTGTACCTAAACAGTTGTTTGCAGTAGCATTTGCTGTTTTCTCCAGGATATTTGAAAAACTTCTGTAAGCATATTTCAAACACCCTTTGCAACCCTCCATATCCCAGTCTTGCTTAATCTAATAACGTATATGTGCAAGTAAGAGATAATTAGGGACAGTAATTCATTAATGAAAGCTTGTGGCTGGTACAAGAAGAAAATAGCTGTTGCGTGGATCTTTATCCTACTCCTCTTTTTAGGATACCATGGCAAAACGGAACACAGTTATAGGAACCCCATTTTGGATGGCTCCAGAAGTGATTCAAGAAATTGGGTATAATTGTGTTGCAGACATCTGGTCTCTGGGAATCACTGCGATAGAAATGGCTGAAGGCAAACCACCATATGCCGATATTCATCCTATGAGGGTGAGGACTGAGGCCTTCTGAAATGTGTTGCTGGCTGGAAGCGATTTGCTATTATACCTGGCTGCATATTATGTTAACATGATGCAGTCTCGCTTTTAATTTAAAGAAAATGATTTCTTGTCTGTCAGTTCTTTGCACTGTTGACTAAACGAGGAAAAAGAATTTATTGGATGAGGAAAATCTGCATAATGATCTTCTTCTGTCGAGACATAGCTGAAGCTCCCAGTGTTGGATGTGAAGAGGCATATTTTCATCTGTGTATTTTCTTAAGTAATTTTTTTATTTTTTTGCCACATAAACCCAAATTTAAGGCTTAAAAATAGCAAATTCATTCCTCCTGGGGCATGTAATGCCTTAGAAGCTTAAGCACCTAGCGAGAAAAGTCTGATTTCTTGCTGCTTGATCCTTCTGAGCAAATTTATATTAAAAGGATTGTACAAGCTCTTAAGCAGCTAACTTGAAGTGTGTATCATTGTTTAGTACCTGTATATATTTATGTACATGTATGTTGTATTATTGGGAGGTTTTAAACCTTATTTGGAAATGTTAAATGTTCTTCTGTTTTCAGGCAATTTTCATGATTCCCACCAATCCGCCTCCAACGTTTCGGAAACCAGAAGTCTGGTCAGACAGTTTCACGGACTTTGTAAAACAGTGTCTTGTTAAGAGCCCCGAGGAACGTGCCACTGCCACGCAGCTTCTGCAGGTCTGCCCTTTGTTACAAGACCGTAAGGTCAAGGGAGGGCTTGTTACGGGCTTGTTACAGTGTAGGCAGTGCTGCGTGTCTGTTGGGATGCTGGTTTCACTTCTTGCTGCTGCTGTACACTACAGATTTTACTTTTAAATACCTGATTTAAAAACCTTGCACTCAACTTCAGCTTTTCAGTTCTTCCCCATGCAGAAGGCGTGGCTCCAGCTTCCTGTGTCTCTTCTGTGGGTTGTGTCTTTGCACCTTAAAATTCTCATCAGCGCTTTATTTTTGAAAGAAGCACGCTGATGCTTTATGCGAGCCTTGAGTTGGCATAGCTCGTGTTGGTAGTGATTATAGGGTTCCCTTCTCCCAGCTGACCCTGCTTTGGAAGTTGCTACTCCTGCAGTTCTTGAAGCAGTTTTAAGTTACTCCTTGGTGTAGTAATGAAAATCAGTGTTGATTTTCAGTGTCACTGAAAATCAGTGAGGGGAGGTATTTCTGAGTTGAGTGGAAAGGGAGGAATGGGAACCACTGTACGTGTTCCAATATAAGCTGTTCCTGCTTGAGCCACAAGTCACAAGATTATTTCTAAGTTCACAAAGGAGCATCTTTGTATTGTTACACTACAAGCAACTCCTCCGTTTGCTTCTAATTTTTACACGTAGCAGTATCACTCACAGAAATTTAAGAGCAAAGCTGGGAATGGGCTGATCCCATTTCTTAGATGCCACCAGAATTTTGTCAGTGTGGAGGACTGCCTGCCTTTTCTCAGATTGTTATTATTTTAAAAAAAAAAAAAAAGGCTGTGGCTTTTTTTATTCACTTTCCTATGCTGTCTCAATGTTTTTATGTTCCATGAGAGGAGCATTTGGTTTTCTGTTGTGCTCTCAAGAGCCTGTCTCCTAAAATACAAGAAAAGGAGAGAGCAAATGAAGGTATTGATTAGAGGGTTGTAGGCCTGGTGATGATCTGTGTAACTGGTTCTATACAGCAAAGCTGTTAAGAAAGGAAAGAAGTAAAGTTTATGGGAGAGGAGCGAGCCCAGGGTCTCACAGCAGTAATTCATTTGGAGTACGATCTTGCTGGGGGAGGGGGGTTATCTCCAGCAGCATAGGGGAGGGTTGAATTTCCGTTTTTTTATTAATGTATTTGGTGTTGAGTTAAACCTTAGTTGTGATTGGTGGTAGGCCATAGTAACAATGTTTTAATGTTGTATCTTGGTTCAGATGCAGTGCTTATTTATTTTTGATATACTTCTCAGCATCCATTTGTTAAAAGTGCCAAAGGGGTATCAATTCTGCGAGATTTGATTAATGAAGCAATGGATATCAAGATAAAACGTCAGGAAGCACAACAGCGTGAACTAGATCAAGATGATGAAGACAATTCGGTGAGTGTTTATAGAAACAATGCAAAATTTGTGTGTACACGTATATGTGTGTGTATACACACACACGCACACACACAAGGCTATATATAGAGGGATATTTGTCTTTTTCAAACTATTCTAAAACAGAGTTCACCCACTGTGCAAAGTCCGAACTCCTACTCCGTTCATAAGGCTTAGCTGCTTTGTTTTTTGTTTTGTTGTATCATTGGTTTTTACAATATTTTGTTCAATTACTCTTGAATTTGACTTCTGTTGAGTTTTCTGCTTTATGATTGCTTAACCTGGTGCTTGATCCCTGCTTCATCTTTATATTCAGGTGAGGCAGCGTGCATGGCTTACTGACTTACTCTTGTAGCTCAGAGTATAGCTAAAGGCCTGTGCCTGAAAGGAACTGCATAATTACATAAGAAAACAGCTGTTGATTCATTTTCCCAACTGGGTTATATTCTTCGTACAGTAATGAGAATTTTTCATTGTAGATTCAGGTCTTAGACCGCTCTCCTAGTATAAAACAATTTCTGTATTTCACTATTATACAAATACGATTTATTGTTTTACTACTGTTGTGCTTTAGAACCCCCCTTATAGAAACTTTCCACTACACAGGAGCAAGCAACAGAAATCTGAGGTGAGGGCATGTGAAGTGTTCAGGGGGATTGCTGTGAATTTAAGTTCTGGGCTCTTTTGTTTAGTGGTTGTAGCATGTGAATATGGAAAGCATGCTGAAAGCTGTTTAATTTGAGCTTCTGCCTGTTTCATCCTGTGTAAATAAAATGGGCAATAAAAGGCATTGTGTGACACAATCCTTTTCAGATGTTAGATCTGAATAGCATGTTCCACTGTAAAACCCAGAGCTGTGCTGAATACGTTGTTCATCTAATTTTCCAGTTTAGGGCTGCATATTTATTCAGTGTGGAAGTAGTCGTACTGGTCATGTTGCCATGATGTTGACTCTAAGAGTATTATCCCTGCCTTCTCTCCTTCGTTTCTAACTAATCTATGGTCGCATTACTGAGAGGTGGTGTCATGGTAGTAGAGTTGAGTGGTCTCCATTAGTGTGTGTGCTTTCCTGAAGCTTCTCTACTCCATATCTGCCAGCAGAAAAGCGTTCACAAGCGCTTTCCAAGTGCTGTGGCGTTTCTGCTATAGTTCTTCCTCGAATGATGTGTAGATTTAAAAAAAAAAAAAAAATGCATCTATTACTTTTTCTCACCCACCCATCTCCACATAAAACATACATTTTCCCCATTAACATCTCATGTAGTTTTTCTTCTCCCTACTACTGGTTTTGAAGTTTAAGAGGTTGGGAAGTTATATAGACACTCTTGGCGGAACAAGGAAAATGCATGGAACACCAAAGTGGAGGAAGGTGTGCTTCCTCTTGTTAATGTCAGTGAGATGGAGTATTATAGCTTGATGTGCTAGGCCTGTGTTTTCCCTTTAATACTAATTCCAGTGAATTAGCCTGTGGTCACATACAGGCTAAGGAGCTGAGGACTTCATACTTGCCGCAAAACTTAATCTTTTTTAATATTTATCTCTAAGGTGAGGTACATATTAAATCTAATAAAATGTGTTTCTAAGTCATTCTGCTCTACACCTAGGAAGTGGTGGTGGTTGTTGTGGTTAGATACCAGGCGCATATTTCCAAAAAACTAAATAGATTGTAGAAAAGCTGACCTCATTTTTCATGAACTCTTAGTCACAATAGACACTTTCTGAGGAAAGCATAACTGTCTTTTGGGAAGTTATCCTACCAGAATTTATTTCGGGGGCTTGTGTGTTCTTACAGACCGTTAATCTCTTGAGCCTTACCACCAATAATTCAAACTTCCATTTGGTTACCGTATATTAATATTATAGAAGGGTAAGAAACAATTTTAGTCTGAAAAAATGACTGGACTCTGTTAATTCATTTTTCCTTCTCTTTAAAGATACGCAAATCCAGTTCACTTTTGTTTCAGTGCTTCTGAAGTTTATAGCAAGTAAGACTACCTAAATCTTAAAGGAGGACTTCAAAAACTAGGCTAATGGCTTTTATCTGTCATGCACCTATGCACTACAGACTCTGAGCTGTTGCTGCCTAATGACTCTTCAGTGAATGATACCCTTTTTAGGTCAACTGTTATAACTGGCCATCTTAATAGAAATGCTAATGACTGAATGAGTATTGTAATCTGCTCTTAGGGGCAGGTTACTAGGTCAGGAATGAGATATCAGTTCTGTTGAGAAGCTTCTAGTGGTTTTTATGTCTGTTCTCTTACTTATCATGCTGGCAGAAAAGTGTGAAGACCTTCCATTACCTGTTTGGGGATGGCAGGGAGAGAACTAAGTGTATAAAGCAAAACGTTCCATCTTGTTGGCTTCTGTGTATATTTGTAAAACTATTTGAATTTGTAAGATTTGTTGGTATCCTTGAATACAGCCACTCTTCCTAGGACTTCCACAATCAGTAAAAATATATTCATGGCATCCTTGTACAGGAAGAAGATGAAACTGATTCAGGTACCATGGTGAGGGCGAGCGGAGATGAAACTGGTACCATCAGAGCCGTCAGTACGCTGAGTGACGGAGCCAAAACTATGATAGAACACGATGGCACCTTGGAATCCCAGCTGGGTACAATGGTGATAAACACGGAAGAGGAAGAGGAGGAGGGCACCATGAAAAGTAAGAATACATCTTCAACAAAATTGCTTGGGGACTAACGTGCTGTAACACACACGTATACAGGGGAGGGAAAGCAAAGATACATATGTTTTGAAAGCTATAGGGCAAAAACATTCAACAAAAGGCAGATAAAAAAGCTAAAGATGCCTACTTAATAGTGAATTGTTTGCTGAAAGTTCTTACCCCTGAAGTTCTTCAGGGTAGTTTGTATTTTACTGCAGATACAGGGTAGTTTGTATTTTACAGCCTAGCTCCACTGCCTTTTGATGAGCCGTTGTTCTATGCTATCAACTAATCCCCAACCAGCTTTGATAGTTTTGGTGGCTTACTGTGGTGTCCTTTGGTTGTAGTGAGCTAAAACTTTTAGGCCAAGGATCCCTGGCAATAGAGAAGAGATGCGTTTTTTAGGTCCAAGTTTTAACTTAAACCATCTTCTTTTAGTTTTGTAATTGATACAGCTGATGAGTTGTGCACAATGTACACAAGTCTCTGCCTTGATCAAAGATGTTCTGATTCTAGCTGCTATGGTGGGGGGAGCTTGTTTGGTTTTGTTGGTGGGGTTTTTTTTTTTTTTTTCCTACAAGAAATGGAAGGGAGGGAAAATCTGGCAGGAGATTAATCCAAATGTTTGTGATGCTTTAGGAAGTGACCAGGCTGTCACCTGGCATCTGAAAACAGCAAGGCAGTTTCAGAACTGATGCATCAAATACAGAGCAGTATTTATGAAATGACAAGTAATCTTACACGTTTCAAACACAGCGAGGCATGCAGTGATAGGAACTAACATCTCTTTTGTTATGTTGCTTTAATCACTAAAGACAATTGAATAAACAGTGCATTACAGTTCTAAGACTTTCCTGTAGAACTCTGTCCTACAATAGAAAAGCTTACTAAAACGTTGGTCTCATTATAGGAAGTAAGATTTAAAATGATGTATGTGCTTTTGATCCCTGATGGTCTCTAGAAGACCTCATGGCTTGACTTGGAAAAAGGTTAAAAATGTTTCTTTGGTTAAAGAGATGGTGAGGAGAGCATCACTGGAAAATTGTGGCTAGAAGGAAAAATAATATCCTTTTGACAATTACTGGTTCTTAGGGAAATCCATTCTCCAACAGAGTTGGAGATCTCAACAGTGTTGAGGCAGAGGTGGTAGGAGATGACCCAGCTGGCCAGCATGGCTGTTTGCTCAAGTACAGAGGAAAGTGCTGACTGAGGCTCGGCAGTACTCTAGTAATAGGCAAGGCTTGTTCTTTTGGCTCTTGTGCACTTCCAAAGTCTTTGTTGGTCATCATATTTTAAAGCTCTGGCTATTGAGGGAGAGGAAAAACTTATCTACGAGAGTTTGGAAATGGCCTTTTCTCAGGAATTTTTGTGTTGAAAGCCCTTTCCATGTGGGCCCCCTCTAGAGCTTGCGGAAAAATACTGTCCCCGTTACAGAGCAGGGAGAGAGTGAAATTTTACTGGAGCCAATTTAAAGAGTTTTGCAAACTTTGGCAGACACTGATTAAAAATTGAAGGCATCAGCCAGCGTAGCAGATTGTGGCAAGAAAAACAATGGAGTGATGCCCTCGGGATTTGAATGTGAATACATTTCAACACTCCCCTTTTGGTGGAACCAGGTAACTCCAGCAGGGAGAGAAATGGGAAAATCGGTTGTGTGTGGACATTTACGGTAACTTAAAAGGTCACCTAGAGAGAGTGGGACATGTTAACAGCTGTGAGTAAATCAAATGAAGTTGCTGTTTCTTTACAAATAACAAGCACTGTTAGTTTTTCATTGCAGATGTGTACTGTTCCATTTCATGATTTCATAGCAGAGGTGTCACGACTGTTGTGGTGCTCGGGCACTGGCTGCCAAAGGTGCAAAAGTAACTCGCCTCTTCAATTGATCTTCCTGTGTTTAAAAGGTGCTTACCTTGTCCCAGTCTCTAAGACTGCTGTTCTTGTAACTCAGAAGCATCTAATACCCTCCTCAAAACTCTGTCTGCTACAGTTTGTAAGGATACCTTTAATATTTCTTTTGCAAGGATGTACCCAACTCATTTTGAGTAGAATCACTTATGAGGCTTTTGCGTTTTTTTTTAATATGTTGTAGCATTTAACCTCAAGAGGGAGCTCCAGAACAAGCTCTGAGAGATCTAGATCTCTGTGACTAGAAAGTTGAGTTTTTCTTCGAAAAGCAAGCAAACAAAAAACCCTCCCTGACTTCAGATCTCTTAGAAACGCTGTTCTTCCACTGGTGCTGTGTAGCAGTAGTCAGAGCCGAGGGGGTGAAGCGCCTGAGCGGTCCTGCATCCCAGAGGAAGCGTTTTGTGCTCCTGGGTGGAAACGATGCCCAACACTGGTAGCACTTCACGTCGACAGGTTCGACACAGTCATGGCAAGACCTGGCGAAGCGCAACTGCACTCAGCACTTTCTCTGCTGCAAGTTGTGCTGTATTTTAATAACTTGATTCCCAGAAACGTGATGTTAGTGCAAATGTCTGTATCGGGTTAAAATTTAACTTTTTCTTCACACCTTATCCTCCCTTCTTCCCCAGTAGCATAATACTGCAATCCTTGCCCTCGCAGAGAGCAGTTCTCTGATTGTTTCTTGGAGACATGGCCAGGCGGCTGTCTTTTAGCAGCCTGCAAATACCCTTCCTGTGAGCTGCCTGTAGTTCTGTTTTTCAGCTCGCTATTTGCATATTCACGTTCTCTTAACGTTTAGTTAAATCGTTTTAACTGTGGAGCTCATCAGCCTGCTGCAGACCTCTCTGGAATGAGTACTTTTTATAATCTTAAATATAAAGATAATAAAGCTATTTGGAAACCAAGGGAGTTCGAAGAAGCTTCATTGATTCATGTTTTTAAAATCGTTATTTCACTTGGCAATTTGTGTTATGACTCACAGTAAAACCTGTTTGAAGTCGATAAAGAAGTTCTGTTTTTTCTCTTGTATGGCATTACGAGGAGGATTTAGCTTTTGTAGGTGTCTGGGGCTATTTAACTGCAAGCTTTTTAGCTAGTGATCCAGCCCTTCCTCCAGATTAAAAAAAAAAAAAAAAAAAAGTCTCCACAAAGTGCTAGCAAGACACAGAAACATGATGTTTTAGACAGGGCTGTCTTATACATCTCTAGTCAACAGCTTTTCCCAATAGCCTGAAGTTTGTCTATAATGGAATATAGGACTTCCTAACGGTGACTCTTGCATAAATCAGCTCACGACTTTTCAGGCTCAGATTACAAATATTCTTTAAGTCCAGTATTTTATGTTGCAGGGGAAGTTTGGTTAGTTTTGTAGTCAATCCAGCTGTAATTCTGTTTGCTTAAATTCTTTCATTTGCTTGTCTGTCTGTTTTACCTGGGCCCCCAATGTAAATATTCAGGCAGCATTTTAAAATGTCACTGTGGAATCCAGTTATGCATTTTGAAAGCACTCAAATGATTGCCTGAAACTACAGATACTAAATTGCATAGTGACACACTTTACTTATAAATTAATTGCTAACAGATTACGTAGGGATTTCAGCTTAACTTTTCCAGAGAAACTCTGGAAGTAGCTGAGGGACTATAGATAAACAATTATTTGTAATAACAGATGTTTTCATTGTGCTTGGGAATTGGAATAACTTTAGGCTTGTGAATATGTCTGAAATCTTTTTTTTTTTTAATTATTCTATACAAGAATATATAGTGATGTTAAATGCTGTAGTGTTTTGGTCTAACTCTATTTTGCTTTTTCTGCTTTTTTATTTGCTGTAAGCGTTTAGATAATGGAAACTTGATATGAGTTTGTCTCAGGTTTAAAGAGTGGAACATAATTTTATAATATAGCAGATAAATATATTGCCTTCCTTGGACTGAAATACGATCAGATCCAAGTGAAATAGGACCTACTTTTCCTAGTACTTGAATCTATCCTATTTTCTGTGTTAAAGTGCCTCTTACTTGTTTAGGCACCAAATAAAACAATACTGGAGAATGTAGAACTGGAACAACGATGTGAGTTGGGCTGTGTTTCTCCGGTCCGGCTGAATGAGGGATTTCA